CCTTTGCCACCTCATGATCGCACAGGCTGTTGTGCTTCTTCTTTGTGGGCTTTGTTGCTTCTGAGCTAGATGGCCGCTTATTTACCTTCAAGCCTTTAAGGGCCCAGACGCTGTATCTTTTGATAGCTGGGCACCATCATAGCTTTGTTCACATTTGCTTATGCACCCATTTGTCTTCAGTGATTGTATTGGGGAGGTGAGCACACAATGATATTATTTTTTGTTCTTTGATGCCTGATAACTGATCCCTTCGGCACCTCGTGATCAGGCAGGTTGGTGTGCTTCTTCCCTGCGGGGCTTTGTTGCTTCTGAACTAGATGGCCCCTTGTTTACCGTCACCTTTGTGTGATTGTTATAGACTTCCACTTGATTTTTTGTTGATCTTTTTGAAAATTAAGGCAGTTTGGATTTAGAGCTTGGAGTCAGAGACAAGTTTCAACTTCACCTCTCGTGCTAAATCTCTGTGTGATTGAGCAATTTACTTTCCTCAGCTGTAAAATAGCAACAATTACATCCATTTACCAATCATTTTTGAAAGTTACTGAGTGACTGCATTTGCCTGAGAGTAACAGTTCAATAAAGATGAACTATTAAATACTTTTAGAGTTATATGAGTTTTTCACATACTGAAGGTTTTAATTGTTACGTGTAATCAGGAGCCAGGAAGTGTTCTAAGGCATAACAGAAGGGGACCAAATTAAACGTCTATAACTGATGAATTTGAGTCTGAGCTGAGCGGCCCTGATCTCAGAACCCTGGAATTTGACAGATTTAGCCACAATCACAGCAGTGCTGAACCAATTTAGCACCTCCTTGGGTGTCTAGCTCCTTGGAGGAAAAAAAGTGATAAAATGGAACAGAAATGTACCCACTTTTCCTTCCTACGTGAAAAACTATGTTCTCTCAGAAACAGTCTACTTTCATATCTAGGCTCTACAATTAACTGCACTGCTGTACAGAAGTCACAGACAGTGCTCATGTTTACAGGGTTGATTGTGGAAGTTAACAGTTACAGTGCAGGTGAGAAATGCTCCACATACAGAAGACCAGTCAAATGATAGAGTTCTTTGTGGGCAGCTAATAAATGACCAAAGGGCATGCCACAGGATGTAAGTGTCATCCTGAAGGCATTCAGCTCCAGCTCCCTGGAATTAAGTGCCCAGACACTTCACTGGCCAGGCAGCTTGCTGCTCCAAAGCTCTCAGCTTTCATTGCTCTGTGGGCTTGGAAGTCGCCTACTCTGTCTCCTGCTCTGACTCTTGGTTCTGCTGCTGCTTTCCCTCTGCCACTCTTCTGATGCCACAGCTGCTTCTACATCCAGGAGATTCACGGGGTAGTAATGTCAGGACCACAGGACAAACGCTACTCCTGACTTCTGTTAGTAGTGATATTTCCTTTCCTTCTTCTCAGAGGGCTCATTTTATAACCAGCAGGATGGCAATCTTAATGAAGCCTATTAACTTTTATTCACAGGTGAGTCCTGTCAGTGTCTTCTCCCACCTTCCCCATGACCAGCACAGGAGAAGAGTTTTGTTGGGAGTTATAGACTTTAGCTAGAAGAGCCTCATTAAATAAATCATTGCCCCTACAAAAACCTACCGTGTAACACTTGATTCCCTAGTATGGAAGCTGGAGAGTCATGCCAGCAAATCTGCTCTACATAATTGCATAGTTAAAGTCATCATGAGTGAAGAAGTATGAAATATAATGGAACATCCTTCCACCTTTGAAGACACTCTAAATCTGTAGAACTGTCTATACAAGGGGTTTCAAAAATTTCTTGGAAAAATGGAATTAAAAGATAATGGAATTTTTCCATGAACTTTTAAAAGCCTTCCTCTGCTTTATCTTCTTCATTTTATAGGTGGATTAAGCCAGGATTGCGTAGATGAGGGTTAGATGAGATCAAAGATAGAGCCAGTATTAAAAACTGAATCTGTATACTTCTTTATTCTTCACCATGCTTTTCCCTGCTGAGCCCCCAGGATTACAAATTGCAATTTAGAAATCCTAAACCACTATAGTTCAGTTCTCTACTTCTAAACAAAATGCATTCTTCAGGACTGGTAGGCTTGCTCATTATACGCAGTTTTTAGCATCAGACAGTTAAATATATAAACAACCCTTCATTGCACCTTAAATTTTAGAAATAATACCTGTGAAATATTTCCACCATTTTGTACATAAACACTTTTGTTTTTTAAATCACAGTTGAATGTTCAATCTGGTGTAAGTCTAAACACTATACAATTAAAATGAAAGGTACTTAGATTTTTCATATTTGCATTAAATCTGAGACCAAGATTTCTTTTTTAAAAATCTTTTTCACTATCATAAGCACTATCTTTTTTATTATTAAACATTTTTGCAAAGATAGACAAGGTGTAATGAAGTTGAAGTGTGTAGAAGTGCTATAATAAATGGAGTGTGGCTATAATTGGAACAACTTCAACAAATAAGTCTT